TTCTTCTTCTTCTTCTTCTTCTTCTTCTTCTTCTTCTTCTTCTTCTTCTTCTTTACCTTGCTGCCGTCGTTGGTACCACAGAGCCCTTTAGCCAGGCTGCGGTCAGTTCCTGGGGTGGTCAGGTACAGGTTCATTGCGGTTGCATGTGCGGTCACTTTGACCTCAGCTCCAGACGGAAGGTAGATCTGAATCAAAGATTTATGTAAATAATTTGTTTAAAGAAGATCATACAGGTTTCTACTGATAAAATGGTGGTTTTTTTCAGGCTACAGGACTCGTAATCATGAGGTTGCGGGTTCGGGGGTTCGAGCCGCGGGCCCGACGTTGTGTCCTTGGGAAAGGCACTTTACACGAATTTTCCTCACTTCACATAGGGGGGAATGGGTACCCAGCCATAGACAGCAAAAGGTTTTGTCAGTATGTTAATGTTTTAGCGCCTATAAATGGCTGCTTGCACTATATGCTTCCAGGAAGTTGAGGTTGTTTCAGAATGCTCTCAGGTCTGCTAGGGTAATAGTATAGATTGTGAAGCGCATAGAGCTTTCCTTTCAGCAGGGATTTAATAATATAATATACATATGAAGAATGAAAAAGCTGCAGGACCGGACAACATTACCACAGAGATGATAGAAGCTTTAGAGGACTTTGGAATCACCACATTGACAAAACGTCTTAACAACACGTATGACACTGGACATATTCCATCAGACTTGCCAAAATCTATCTTGATAGCTTTACCAAAGAAACGTAATGCAAACGAATGTGAAACTCATCGTGCCATCAGCCTAGTGTTCCACATAACAAACATACTAATCAAAATAATTATGATGATAATACGAAAAAAATCCTCCCAGAAATAGCCCACGAACAATGTGGATTTATTGAAGGCAAGGGCACTGTAAATGCCATATATGTCATCAGAACAACTACAGAATGTGCTCTAGAAGTTCAGAAAGATCTTCATTTATGTTTTATAGACTACACCAAGGCATTCGACAAAGTTAGGCACGCCAAGATCATCAACATGCTAGAACTCCTCAATATTGACGGGAAGGACTTAAGGATTATCAATAACATGTACTGGGATCAAACTGCTGCAATGAGAATAGGAAACGACATCAGGGAATACATACATATTAAAAGAGGAGTCAGACAGGGATGTGCACTTTCTCCAGACTTGTTCTCACTGTATAGTGAAAATATCATGAAACACATAGAAGAAATGCCAGGAATCTCGATAGGGGGACATAATAATATATAATCTAAGATATGCAGACGACACAGTCTTTATAGCAGAAGATGAAGAACACCTACAGAATATATTAAATGTCATCGTACAAGAGAGTGACAACAAAGGCTTAAGCCTAAGCATCAAGAAAACCAAAACAACGGTGATAAGCAGAAAAACTGCAACCCCAACATGCAATATCAAAATCAATGACACCACCCTCTAGCAAGTACAATATTTTAAAGATTTGAGGACCATAATAATATCATCAGCTGTGAGATGTCACTCCGAAATTTGAAGCCGCATTTGCCAAGCAAAAGCAACCTTCCACAAAATGAAACAGATACTCAAAAACATCATTCTGTTACTGGAAACGAGAAAAAGAGTACTGAAAAGTTACATCGAGCCAATCCTATTACACGGGGGCAAAGTATGGACAATCAATATATAGCTGGAACGAACAATTGTGGCGAAAGAGTTGTGGTTCATAAGACGCATGCTACGTATCCCATGGACAGCTAGAAAAACAAATAAAGAAGTCTTGGTTGAAGCAAATTGCAGAAAACAGCTTATGACGAATATACAAAAGAGACAGGCAAATTTTTGAACACACAATGCAGAAAGAAGCATTGGAGAATATTGTAACAACAGGCAAGTTTGATGGGAAAAGAGGCAGAAGCAGACAGAGGGAAAAGATACTGGACAAGATAACAACATGGCTGGGAGCAGCAAGACCAACAGGCACTATTTCTGCAACGCAAGACAGGGTGAAGTGGAGGTCCATGATCGCCCACGCCTGTCGGCAAGGCACTGGATGATGATGATACTGATATTTGAATAGAGAGAATCAGAGAGAGAGAGAGAGAGAGAGAGAGAGAGAGAGAGAAAAAGAGAGAGAGA